GCAAACAGCAGACATGACGGAAAATCTTGGCGTGCGCGGCACAACATGCCAATTTTGGCCTGATTCGGGGGACTGTAAAGGCGCAGTTCGCATTTTCTCAACAGCAGCACATTTGGGGCAAGATTCGAAAGCGATTAAGTAAGATCTAAAGGATGTGGAATGGCAGAAAAGATTGGTAGTTCGGGAGTTTCATGAAGGAAATTGGATGAAAAAGATTGGGAGGAGAGGGGGATGCAGTTTGGCTCAAAGAACTCAGGAGACAGCAATACGCAAGTTTGCAAAGCGCAAGAGCATACCTACCTGGAAAGCTGGGAGGAAGCGGTTGAAATTCTGTTGGCACTTTTGTTAATAGAACTTAGGAAACCACATAAAGCAAAAAAGATCCCACGGATTTTTCAGACATTTAAAAACCCAGAAATTATCAAAGTTAATTGTGAGGATCTTTTTTGCTTTATGTGGTTTCCTAAGTTCTATTAACAAAAGTGCCAACAGAATTTTAACCGCTTCCTCCCAGCTTTCCAGGTAGGTATGCTCTTGCGCTTTGCAAACTTGCGTATTGCTGTCTCCTGAGTTCTTTGAGCCAAACTGCATCCCCCTCTCCTCCCAATCTTTTTCATCCAATTTCCTTCATGAAACTCCCGAACTACCAATCTTTTCTGCCATTCCACATCCTTTAGATCTTACTTAATCGCTTTCGAATCTTGCCCCAAATGTGCTGCTGTTGAGAAAATGCGAACTGCGCCTTTACAGTCCCCCGAATCAGGCCAAAATTGGCATGTTGTGCCGCGCACGCCAAGATTTTCCGTCATGTCTGCTGTTTGCTAATAGTGGTTAGTTGGGACCTGTCTGTTCCCACCTTTTCTTTAAACTCCCCTGCAAGGAAATGCAGCGCAAGCCCTTAGCGTTTTCGTGCGGTTTTGAGGCAACGTTTTAGCGTGATCACCTTTCGACAAACTGTAGCTGCCAAAGTGGCTCATTCACACATTTTGTGAAAATCCTCGGATACCCTCAAATTCTCACATTCAGAAATTTTTTGACAAAGTGGCCGTCACGTCACAAACTCGGCAAGCTTTTCCCAGCTACAGCTGTGTACATTCCTCCTGACTCTTTTCACCCGGGGCCCTGCTCTTCTCATCGACTGTCCCTACGAACTACCTTGACATTTCATTCCCTTTAGATCTTTTGGGCCCGTATGTAAACCTGGGGTGAATTAAGCGATGTTCCCGGTCATGAAAGGGCCGCGGGCGAACATCGCTGCAGCTCTAGCCAACGTTCCAATTTATAGTTACAAAATCTTCTGAATCAAAAAACATCCCTTCCTCATCACGAAATATGCGTTGTTGGAAGCTTGCTCAGAGTCTTTTCAATTCAAAAATTCTAATTCCAAACTCCCGTTCGCGTTCTATATGGGCTTTTCAAATTGTTCAACACCTATGATAAGCCCAACTCCAGTGTCTACCTCAATTTCCAGCTCATCTTAGTAGGCTACTGACTTGAATATAATCAAGAATGCTACTATCAAAGTGTATATCCAATTTCAACTGTTCATCCACACTGTCTATACGATTTTGAGGTTGTGCATTGTTTTGACAAAATTACGGAAACAGCATCATTATATTGTTAATGATAATTGATAGAATCTTTTTAGATCATTGATTTTTTGGTCAGTTTTGCCAATTCTTCGGTTTGAAAATACTTGTACCGTGTTTTTTTTTTGTATTTACTGATACAAAATGGCAGATGATGATCGTTTTGAGATCAAAACGTTACTCTCAAAAAAACTGCTCAGCTTCTAGAAAAATTCATAAATGCAGCCACATTGGAGGTGCTGCTCAAATCGCTTCATTTTTATTTCGAGTTTCTCAGAAAAAACTTCAATTGGCTTCTTCTTGAGGCATAGAACTTTGCAGCAATTATGAAATCCTCAAATCTAATGTAATTTTAACATAAGTGAAAAATTGCTCATAAAAGTGAGATTGCATATGTTGGTGCGCTTTTGTTGCTCTAGGAGCGATCAGAGTTGCATAAAAGGAGAGATAGTTGTAAGAATCAGAAATAGTCACAGAAACGATGAGGTGCGAAAAGACAGGTATCACAGGGCGATGGGAATGATAGCCTTTCAGATGAAACAAACGATGGTAGAATACCTTACCCGTCTTTAGATTGATAATGGAGTCAAATCGTAGCTGAAATAAAGCGAAATATCGTGAAGCGGTAATGAGACTAATCGATCTCACCGCTTAGGAGTTGTGGTAGCAGCGTTTGACTGCTCGTGCCTGCGTAAGGAACCTTGATAAACAATAGCGAAGACAGACAGTCTGATGGCAAAGATCACTTGTACAAAAAAGGGCAGTGGTAAAGTGCAGGTTCGTGGAGCATAGTGGTAAAGGCAGTGGTAAAGTGCAGGTTCATGGAGCATAGTGGTAAACAACCCAAACATGGCACGAACAGACCGACACTGACGTCAGATGGGGGTGCCTGCGCTTTATTAAAGAGTATGATGATTGTCCGTTAGACAACATATTCATAGTGTTCTTGCCTGTAAGAATGGAAACACAGCCAAGGTTGTGGACATTGAGGGTAGTCTGAAGATGCGTCGTATTTCACGCAAGTGTCCTTTACGCTCAGACACTGGGAGCGCGCCCCGAGATCGCGACTCCCGCTTTTCTCCCGCTTCATTTTTTGTGTCGGGATTATCCCGATAGTCGGGACAAAACCGGGAGTTGCGCAAGACTCCCGGTTTTCTCGCGAATTCTCATTTTGTGGGCGGATCTCCGCCGGGACTTAACTGCGAATGTCTAAGTTTGAGCTCGCTATCATGGCGCGCCTCTGATTGGTCAACATGTCCACTGCTATAACGGGTTAATACTAATTCATTTTTGTACATCTTTCGTGTCCAACATGATGATATGTTTCTCACAGGTATTGTACATGCTTCAAATCAAGAATTTCCCCCGTTAACTGTAAATGTAACTTGCTAGCTTTGTCAGCGGCGCCGCACGCGGCGAAAAGAGCATTGCGCGTGAAGGGTTCAGAAGGGCCTACACCCACTTTGGGAACATTTCTCTAGGACAAATCATATGGTTATCCCCCAGAAATGTTCCCATAAGTAGTACCGTCAGGTGGTTGCGTTTTGATCCTTTTTTTCTAACACGTTAACTTCAGCAAATTCAAGGCGCTTATTTGAAGATGACACGTCAACGATAAAGACAGCCACGTTGATACCTATGGGACAGTGGCGTACCGAGGGAGAGGGCGGGGGGGGCCCCCCCCCCAGAATGGGTCGCGAAATTTTTGAAAGTCACTTACATGAGTTATAAAAATGTGCAAGTGACTTATTCATAATTGTAAATAATTAAAATAATTTTTAAAATTTTTTAGAAAACCAATTTAGCCTTACAAAATTTTTTTCCGGTGGCGTGGCTGACGCCACTCCCCCTTTTTTTAAAATTTTGGGGTTATGGGCCCGCAAAAATTTTGAGAAGCATACCAAAATTTTTTTCTGGGTGCGTGGCTAACACCACGCACCTTCATCAGAAAAAAAATTTTGTCGACCCCCCCCCCCGAGCGGAACCTGGGTACGCCACTGCTATGGGAACATTTCTGGAGGACTCGATACATGCAACCAGGCGTAGGAGTGCACAAAAGCGTCACAGCGACAGACATGAAATTAATGGTCAACGTCTTTAGTAGCATCCCGGCAGATATAACGAAACGAAAAAAACGTAAGTGGCAGTAGCGCCCATCCTGATAAAGCTCTTGTCCAAGTGGCATCGTAGTTCGCATCGTAATTCGGCTTCAAAGACGAGGAAACTGCTTTGAAAAGCGCTGACGTGGACGTCCTTCTAGGGCCCGTATGGACGCACTTCTCCGCGTGGAGAAGGGGGTCTGAGAGGGGACGCGTCATATCTCGCTACTTTAGTACTTTCTTCTTTTCTATCTAGGTTATGAAGCTCCTCGAGCCTTTATACCTGTGCATGATGGTTGCCAGGTGCTGCTATCCAAGATCAAATTTCCATAGTTTGTGTGATTCCCTGGGGATTCCCGGGGGAGGGGGGGGGGGATCAGCACTCATTTTCAAAGTCATTTATCTTTCTATAAACTTACTAAAAACGTTGTAAAATTATGCTGAGGATATGACATGGCAATGCTAAACATTTATAGTAGAAATAAGTGAAATATATGCGGCCACTGCGCCGCGCACGTCCGATGTCCGTTCCACGACTCAGGTAGGTGCCAGAGTTACATTGTTCAACAAGTTCATCGCTTCACCCCTCTGCTATTGGTCAATGCATTGATTTGACCAATAGCGAATGAGTGACCGGGCTCAATCGGTTGAATACATAAGTCTGGCACTTGTTTCAGTGCATCGGACGTGCGCGGCGCAATGGCCGTACGCACGTCCGACTCTCGCGATCATGCAAGCTCCTATATCAGAATATCGAAATCTCCAATGAAACACTGCTCCCGAGCTAGGGATTATCGGAAAATTCATAATCTTTAGATTCCATTTCTCCTGTCGAAAACATGCTTAGCAGAGCCGTAGTATATCTTCAGTACAATTTTGTAGCGTTTTCATTGAGTTTCCTAGAAGATATATGACTTTGAGATTGAGAGGTGATCCCGGATCCCCAGAGGATCATACAAAATAGTGGAAATGTGAGCGTGTATTGCAGTAACATGACATCCATTACGCACAGGTATCCGGGTAGGAGAATCTTCATAAGCCAGGTAGAGGAAGAAGAAGAAAGATATTTAGAGCAGCGAGATATGACGTATCCCCTCTCAAATCCCCTCCCCTCCGCGCGGGGATATACGTGCATACGGGCTTAAGGCGGAACCTTTGATATTCACTCATAGATTCCATACAAAGTGCGTATATCGCGAGTTTATACTCATTAGGTGCCCAACGACTCTGCGTCTCAATCTTGGCGAGCTCTGCGTCCATACGGCTATGGTCTCCTGATTCTCTTCCAGTCTAAACTATTATATATTTTCAGAATGTGCGAGCGAGTTCCTATAAATCAACACCAAAATTTCTTTGTTGCATTTATATCTAACTCAATAAGATGCGTTCCACTCTTTGCTCAAAAGGCTGCCATGGTGAGGTACGCATGTATAAAAGGAGAAATCCTCTTCAAGGCTTTTCTTAAGGCCGTATGTTTTATGGGATTATCACGTCATATTGCTCGAAGAGTCAAGAAACCAAGAGAATTTGGTTTGGGATCTGGACACCCTTCTCGAGTTTCCATGTGGTTTTGACAAGTACTGGGAGGGCACGATGCAGCCGAAAGATTGGAATATTCCATCAGAATATCACAGGTTTGGAATGTTCCATCAGAATACCACAAATTTGTGTGAGCACAGCGTGGCAAATGTTCAATTACCGCTGCATTTTACCGCCGCATTTGTCCGAGAACTTTTTGAATTGACTAGCGACCCTATGGGTCGCTGGCAAGTGGGTCGGGCAAATATTGCACATTATTAACCATCTAGCTATGACTACGATATCTCTACATTTTATACTTTTTTGAGAACTACCCTTAAAAACCCACTCCCACGGGCGAGTCCTGCAAAAACGAAGATTACGGTCATTCAACATTTCTTGAGAATTATAACCAGGGCCAAGCAAGGGGTGTGGCACACGATCGCTGGTTACGACCCCCCCCCCCTGATTGCTGTCTTAATAAGATCCCCCCCCCCTGAACTATATACCTAAGATAGCATTACCAGAGTTGAGATAGAGGTCAGGCACAAATCTTTCGAAGCAGTGGTATCAACGCAGAGTACTCTCAAACGACCCCTTCTTCCTCCTCTTAACCTCTGGACCTCAAAGTGTGACATTCTTGAGGGCACCATCTTTTTCTAGAGAGTTTTCAGATTTCTGAGAGCTGTACGCCCGATTTTCTGTGACTGAACTTTACAATCACACGTAATTTGACGGCTGATTTTGATCTGAATGGGCATATTGAAAGGGCCATAATTTTCTTATGGGTAGGGTGTTCGGCTCCAAGTTTCCAGTGTAGCAAGAAGAAGCTATGTGCTCAATACTCATACCAGCAATGGAGCGCTTTTTGGATTTTGAAGGCAAGTTAAGCGGGTGCGGCACACCCCATTAACTGTATCAAAAAACATTTTTAGCGGACAGTATTTATATGAATCGATAGCCTAAACCTTGTAGATTCCATGGGACTCTTTGGAGCCTGATTTGTCTTCTTAGCTCTAAGTAATATTTGGTGAAAGCACAGCGATCAAAAGCGAAAAATGGTAAAAACGAAATTTTGGTTGGCTTTTAATTCCACGGTTTGCAGGTCTTCTGAAGCAGGATTCCTGAGGTGGACAAAGAAGGAGTAGTGCTTTGTCTTGAGTGCAAAAACGGATAGCTAATTCACCTTTGAAACAAAGTTAACCATGTTGGAATTTGACCATTTCATTTAGGTAGCCTAGTATCTTGAATGTTCAGAATTCGCTCACACTTTGTCTACAGGGGTTAATTGACATGCTAATTATGGATATGATACGAATATCATGTTATCACTATTATCAGATTACCCAACTACGACCCATTCCCCTTTTGACTCCTCAATGCGACCCCCCAGGTGTGGCGTGCCGCACCCCACCCTTGACCCTGATTATAACGCATTCTTACCAGATTTGAGGAAAAAAACGACCTTTTCCCGAAAAAAAAAACAAGATACATTCTCCCAGAAACCTTAACAAAGTTTTTCTTGCATTGTCCTTCAACAATGATTTTGCGAGCTCTGGCAACATGAAACCGATTGATGACTTCTAACTCTTTTCTTAGAATTTTCATTGGGCCAGATTTTCCAACAATCTCCATTGAGTGTCGCCTCAAAGGCATTCGAAATACAACCTACGATTTACAAAAACTCTGCACTTGAGATGCCCTAGTTCCCGGAAAAATTTGGCAACGAAAATAAACATTGTTTTCTTATGCCCTATGTGCCGCCTTCAGATAGTTTTCATGGGTACGGGTCAAAAGTCACGATGCGTCGCTGCAACGCGACTCAAGCTGTGAAATAGTCAGCTGCCGTCGGCACTTCGGGCATAATGTTACTTATGGCTTCGAGTCATATATCTGCCAACCCCATCCCACCACCATGGCGCAGTGCCACTCTAGCACCGGAGAGTTTTTTGTGAAGCAAAAATTTGAGCGCGGCGAAGGTTCGCCGCGCGCGGTGTGACTCCTGACCCTTAGCCAGTTTCATGGGAAAGAAATGCACCACGACGCGTAAAAGCGATTTACAAAAAATTTGCCCTACGATTCCCCTTTACAGATCGAATTTTCAAGAGAAAAGCCGCCTTACAAGCAGCCTACAAACTGATATAACTTTTGATTCAATTGGCTTGGTTCGGGAAGGCGGGACGCTTTGTGACGTAATCAAGCCGCTCCCATCCGCGACGCACTGCGCCCCTCTCGCGCGAGTGCTCTCTGATCACTAGCTAGCCTTAATTAGATCACGGAGCCCCGCCTTCCCGAAGCCAAGCCAGTTGAATGAAATGTTATGTATATCAGAATTTATAAACAGTGTGGGAAAACGCCTACCGAAATTTGGAAAACTACCCTGCAAGCCCCCTATAGAGCAATAGACTTTCCTACAGCCACCTGCAGAGTGGTATTCTACGAAAGAATGGCCCTACAAGCACCCTATAAACAAAGTCTTGGGATGTTGCCATCCATAGTGGCTCCCTACAAGCCAATATCTTAAAGGCAGCGTCCGGGCAAGTTCCACCCACCAAAAATTAGCACATAGTTGTTAAGCGGGCCACATGAGTATCCGATCTGCGTTGGTCCGATCCTTTAGTATACGTAGCACAAACCGCTCTTCGTATCACTAACCTCCCCCTGAGGACGTGTGCTCACGCATCGATCAATCGGATTGCAACTGCACCATGCAGTTGCAGCTCCTCCCTGCTGACGAGCCGAGGGGATGAACAGTCCGAAACTCGTCCGCGCCCTTAAAACAAGGTCCCCAGGAATCGGGGTTTTTTGAGGGTTTTGGACAAGTTGAACTTTATAACTGTAACCAGGGTCATGGAAAGGCCCTAGAACGACAAAAACATGAGAGGCGACATTTTGCCCGGACGCTGCCTTTAAGGTAGTCGTATGGCTGCGTAAAGAGATTTTCAAGAAAGAAACTGCCCTACGGGTCGCCTGCAGACTATTAATCAATTATTAGAAGGAGCTGCCTTAGGTGCCGCTCACGTAACATTAATTTGAGGAGGAATTGACCTGTAAGCTGTTTGAAACCGTTTCCAGAAAAAAAGATCTTTTTAAAGACATTAAGAACTTCCCACAAATCAATCAAAAAAAAAACTCTGTATAGGCCGTGTACGAACTCATTTCGAAAAAGAACTGCCCAGGCTGCACACAGACCTAAGGCACCTTCAAACCAGTATTTTTGTGAGATGCCCAAAGAACCGCTGTGAGGCTAGTATTTCACGAAACAACCGCCCTACCCCATCCTCTATCCCCTATAAACCAAGAGTATGAGATAAGAAAGCTATGAGCCACGTATAGAACGATATTTCACGCCTTTACAAAGTAATTTTGAAGAGCAGTGCCCTACTGGCCCCCTAGGAACCGTGATGAAAAAACTTGAGAAGCTTACAGATCGATGTCTTTAGCGAGTACTGCCTACGGACCGGTAATTTTGAAAAGGAAGTGCCCTATGGACCTCTTGCAGACCAATTCAAAGAAAGAAATGTCCTACAAATCTCCCGCAGGCTATAATTATGCGAAGGAACTGCCCTGTGCCAGCTTACACGATGATCCAAATGGAAACTGCCCAGCGAACTGTACTTCCTTAGTAAACCTACTGCCGTACTGCCCCCCCCCCTAACCGTGCTACCGGTCTGCAGGCGGTCCATAGGCACTACTCGCTAAAGATCGATCTGTAAGGTTCTCAAATTTTTTTATCGATATCAGTCTGTGCTTTGCTGTAGGGGGCTTGTGAAGCAATATTTTCTCTATTAGCTTGAAAGCAACCCATAGGGCATTTCCTTCATCCAATCATTGGTCTGTAGGCGGCGAATGGGGTATTGCTCTTCAAAATTACTTTGTAAAGGTGTGAAATCTCGTTCTGTAAGTGGCTCATAGCTTTCTTCTCTCATACTCTTGGTTTATAGGGGATAGGATGGGGTAGGGCGGTTGTTTCTTGAATTGGCCTCACAGCGGTTCTTAGAGCATCTCACAAAATATTGGTTTGAAGGTGCCTTAGGTCTGTGTGCAGCCCGGGCAGTTCTGTTGGGACAGCCTTAAAGGCACTGTCCATCCAAATCCTAGACTTCCATGTTTTTGTCGCTTCCGGGCCTTCTGAAGGCCTTGATTTCGAATATGAAGTCGAGAATCCCAGAAACTCCTATTCTGGAGAAAGCGGAACGAGTGGAAGTGCAGTTTGCAGGGCTGCGGCGCGGTTATCGCCCGGCGTATGTCAGCGCCGCAGCCCCCAAAGCTGCAAAATGGGCGGAGTGACCACCTCTGGATCACGTATCACATACCTTCCAGAGCGGATTTCTCGCTCTGGAAGCAATCTTTTGCGGAGAAACTTGGGGGTTGGCCTAGTGTGGGGGCCCACATTAGTATGCCATCGAATCTCTTGAACCCTCACTTTGGGTGGACGGTGCCTTTAATGTCCTCACTGACCTTGTGTGTAAACGATTTTTTTCGGATTTTAGATAATGTGTTCCTGAGCGCGCGCGGTGCGGTTAAACATATTGGGCTTCCAAGGGGAGACGGTTTTTTTGCACGGGCGTCTCAAGTGCCACCCATGACTTCTTCCAACACACGTCACGCATGCGTCAAATATTTCCTTTCCCTTGCTTTGGCAAAAGGCGTTGCACGGTGTGTTGCGCGCGGGGTGGTTTCGTGTGGAAAGCATTCTTGTCGAAACCACTCTACACTGGCTTCCAACAAGGGAAGGATGCTTGGTCGAAGTGGAGTTTCCATATGAAATGTATACTGGCTTATAGAGCATAAAACGCTAATTCCAAATCTACTCGCAGTATCTGCAAAGCGATTCTGGAAAACAATAGAAGCCAAACAAATCTTGAGGGCTGATTCAGTTTCACGTGAGCTGCGCAAGACGAAGTCAGTTACGAGCTAGAGGCCCTCATAAAGTTGTGACGACAGATTCGACTGCGGTCTTTGCCCGCGTCCAAACCTCGCAAGCATAGCACTTATACAAAAGGTATTACTCCATTGCACAGATCAGTCACTACAAGTATCTAGTAGCTATCATTTGCATTCAAAAACAATGCGATGAAAATAACGAAAGTCAGGAAAATGCGGCTGTCAAAACTGCATACGCGACGGTTTGACAAAACTAACGACACTGTATTTCATAATGACACAGCGACAAAACTAACGATATTGTATTGTAATGACACAGTAAGTTTTCTGTGTTTCATTGAGAGTGGTGAGTGGAGACAGTGCTTCGATCGCTAGTTGAGCCTGTGAAATGGTTAGGAAGCACGCTCGCGAGAGAGAAGGGTCCAGAGCTCCCCCCCCCCCCCCACCACTCCCAATGATACAGAAAGTAAGCAGGTTCATAACTTTGTGCCGATGAAGATCATCTTTGTGTCAATGATACTGCAATCACGAAATTCTAGGTTTTTCCGAGTCATTCCTTGTGCTGCGTTCCTTGAAAGCTTTTCAAGCGATCGATCACATATGGTAGCTGCGGATGGATCATGGTTGGCACCTCCACCAAGCTGGGATAAACTCTGCAAACAAGGACTGCATAATATCGACGACTTCATCAGCATGGATCGAAATATGTTATCGGATATTAGCCAAGTTTTCACTGAGGATGAGATGTTTCTGAGATTTTCCTCTAGCAGTGAAACTGTTTGTTCACCATCTAAGGATTTGGTGGTACTGGAACCTGATATTCAAAATAGATGAGTCATACGACTATTGCAGTGCGGATTGTTAATAATTTGACCTGTCCTGTTTGGAGTCTACATGTTTACGTTACAATATAAAATGCTCATGCCATCGTGAGGATCTTTTACAGACAATTGATTCCGAAATTAAGCCTGGGAGATTTGATAGCGGTAAACAGTGACTACATGCGTGCTGCACATGATGGTGATGTCCTGGTTTGTGCAAAGATAATACATGCTCTCCATGCTACTGGGGCAGGGTAATTTTAAAAAATTTGAAAAACTTCTGTGCACAACACAAGCTCTGCAAGAGCAGCTCAAATGCCGTTCTACAAAGCTCTTGCAGTGCTTTCTTTGTTTGACCAAATAATATGTTTCTTTGAGCTAATTCGCACAAAGATTGTATGTGTGGTCTGGGGCGAACTTCCAAGATTTCACAATTGAGTTATTTTACATGAACATGTGTATATTGCACACAACATCCATCTTTGGCGTTCCCATCGTGGTTTGCAATCGCGAAAAGCCAAGAGACTATCTGCAATCGCTTTAAGGTGATTAGCAAAAGAAAATATTAAGAACACGTCGAAATCACTTATCTAAAGCGATGTCTCCTTCAAGAATCTAGAATAGGAACGCCAAAGGTGGACTGTGCGTGTTTCACACACCATCATACGAAAATTTAACCGTAGCTGTCCGGTTTTGGTCCAGAAAATCCCAAAAACCCCAAACTTGCTCACGCATGTAGTTATAGGCCTGCGCGTTGTCCTCGGAGGGCAATGCTGTTGCGTCCATCGAAATAGTCTCTGACTAGAAGAGCTGCAGAGAAAAAAAGCAGCGAGAGTGCACGAGGAAAGAGGAATGACGCACAGTACAGTACCCACACTAATTATTCGACAGAAAACGCAAAAACTGACGATCCGCGTTTTTTTCGTTTTTTCTTCATAACTTCCTTCAGATTGCATAAAATACGAATCTGAAGAAAGCATGATGTTTAGCTCGTCAAGATGAATCTTCTTATGTGCTAAACTCTCTTACTATCCCGTTTTCAGCCTGCTCGATTTTTGCGTGAGGACGGGTTTTCGTAGTAGTGCAACTCAGCGAAGAACACACATGGTAGACTTTAGTAAACATGATTCGGTAGAGCTGTTCTCGTAGATTATTAAGCAGTAGCGATTGGCGGAGAATCCCTCTTCCATAGAGAAAGATAGGCCGGTGAATTTTGAAAAAACCGATGTCTCTCAGATTTTGGCTACCGTAACTGTACTGTAAGACGTTAATTTGCAAAGCAGATGTATTTTTCGTAATCAGCAGGCTAGATAACCCCTATGCGCAAGTTTTCCGAGGAATTCGGACTCTTTGATATTTTCTCGTTCTAGGCTCTGAACCTCGCCGACGGGTTTTGGCTGAAATATTGATGATCTTGGATTTGCCGGAAACTTCGCCCATAGAGGTTCTCAGACTTGCTGATTACGAAAATAGTGCTCTTTTTGCACTGTAAGTTCTTTTGGCAGGGTTATGCTGAGAGGAATGCTGCGATACTATGCGAGTTCGTGAGTTTGTCTGCCCCTTTCGCGTATCTGTTGGAAAACTTACCTGCTCTTCTTAGCAATTTGAAATCATTAGAGACAGTATTTTCAACACGTGCTTAAACTAGGCCCGTATCTGCATTGATCGCCGAACTGTGAGCTTACCAACTCACGTCCTCATGAAAATCGTTCAAAATTTTGAGATCGCATATTTTGACCAAATATTGCTGGGAATGATTACAGATGCTCTGATTGCAGATATTATGTTTATATACGTAAACTGATAATTTTAATTCAGCATACTTGCTTACTCCCTGTGCCAATCACACAAGTAGCTCAAGGTTCGCAAAAAATCGATAGAGTTGGTAAAGGTAGTTGTTTTTGAAAAACTAATATCTATCCATAATCAGCACCCTCACTCACCCATTTATACCAATTCTTGGCTCGGTTGCTCAAACTTGGCAAAAAATCGATGAATCGCTATCGACCGATGACGAAATGTAGTCTACGAGACCAGCTCAGCCCCCAAGTTGTGTGCACAGTTTGGTCTGCATTGGTTCAGAGATGCAATTCTGTTGGGAGCATACGCACAGACACACAGACACATGACAAACAGACATTCACTTGAGTCTAGTATGTTAGAGATAATAGTGACAATAACAGTTGGAACTCTAAAGTCTGTCAAACTTATCATGAAAATCGCAGGCGTTTCCTTGCAACCGTTCATCTCCAATCGCCCATGCTTTTATTCCCACTAGGTAGAGATAAAAGCGTAGACCATTCACTATTTGCAGTTCTAAGGCTGGTCATTCTTGCTATTTTACTTTTGTTCATCTTATCTACAAAGTTTTTTCTTTCTTCAGCGTTAACAGGAGTTCAGAGTCGTTCACAGAATACATTCTGCCCCAACAGGGGTCAAGTTGTACCATTGGCGCAAGTTTATCTACAAAGTCGTGCGGGTTTTGCGCCACTCTATGCTAGCTTGTCTAATCTCTTCATTTTCTTCGCCCTTCGACAGTACGCATACGCAACGCAGAACCACACCGCGGCGAGCGCACAAACTTGCACCAATGGTAGAACCTGACCCCTGTTGGGACAGACTGTATTCTGTGAACGACTCTGAACTCCTGTTAACGCTGAAGAAAGAAAAAACTTTGTAGATAAGATGAACAAAAGTAAAATAGCAAGAATGACCAGCCTTAGAACTGCAAATAGTGAATGGTCCACCCTTTTATCTCTACCTAGTGGGAATAAAAGCATGGGCGACTGGAGATGAACGGTTGCAAGGAAACGCCTGCGATTTTCACGAGTTTGACAGACTTTAGAGTTCCAACTGTTATTGTCACTATTATCTCTAACATACTAGACTCAAGCGAATGTCTGTTTGTCATGTGTCTGTGTGTCTGTGCGTATGCTCCCAACAGAATTGCATCTCTGAACCAATGCAGACTAAACTGTGCACACAACTTGGGGGCTGAGCTGGTCTCGTAGACTACATTTCGTCATCGGTCGATAGCGATTCATCGATTTTTTGCCAAGTTTGAGCAACCGAGCCAAGAATTGGTATAAATGGGTGAGTGAGGGTGCTGATCATGGATAGTACTCTGCGTTGATACCACTGCTT